ATTGACCAAATATAGCATAAGCACATTCTAAGATAAGTTCTCAGTAAAGAAGTGAAGCAAGTGTTTCTAGTGAAACATAAGCCTCCAAGCTGAAAAAATTCGTTGTGCAGATAGCACTCTAGCACATTGTCTCCTGAATTAGCAAAATCATAGTGCAAGAAAACTAAGCCTACCATTTTTAGAAACCTTTGCCAAAACTGTTCATTTCATTCCATCTGAGTAAAAATCGCGTAAACTCATTCGACGACTGACACATAAACTTTGGAAAACGTGCGGGTGATACTGGATTTGGTACAAACTCATCGAAAAACTAATCGAAGACTAAAATGAGTTCCAAAAAATTTTGAGCTAGAAATATTCAAACACGCTATCTGAAGGAGGTGCCGGCGTTGCAAAGCTTGATTGGCTAACAATGCTGAAAGCATCAATCTAACAATCGTAAACAGTAAGTAAGAGAATTTACCACTACTACCATTGATCGGCTGTCTGTTCGCTTATGACCGCTTTCAGTTTCACACCCTCACAACATACTTTCAAGATTGTTTGGAAAAATAGGAAATGTTTAAGGATTCCTTGATATGATATTAGTCGTATGAATAATAAAAAATTATTCCTTCGCGAAACTGAAGCTTGCTTTTTGACAAATGCGAGGTGATTTGCCCAAGAGAGTAGAATAGTAACAAACAAAAAGACGCATGAATGATGACATTCGCAAATGAAAGCCAAGTTACTTTAGTTCAATTGCTTGGATCGAATACTGCCGGAAGGAAAAATCATTAGTTTGTCGAAGAAACTCCCTAGACCTCTGCAATTCTAGATTTCTAGATTGTATGAAGAAAGAGGGATTACATTTCTAAGATAGCACTGTAAACTGTTATACTTTCTCCTGGAAAATGGAGCACAATCAAAAATGGGACAACAGGCAATGGGTATGAGTTTGTAAGTGATTTTAAAAGGCAGAACATGTGTAGCAAACTTACTTATAGATAATGCTAGCTGTAAAGTCACACTAGATAATTTATCGATTTGTGAATGAGGGCTCAAATTTGATTATCTTACGTGGAGCGCCATGACCTTGAAACATTAGTGTGTAACTTTTCATATTATTTCGACAGCAGTCAGAATGTAGAGCGTTTTTTAAACAACGTTGAAGGAATGTCACTTTTATGAGTGTAATCCTGTTACGAAAATAATACACGAAATTTGGAGATTAGTGCTCTTTTGAGTTCGTACAATCATCAAGCAAAGTTAATGGTACATAAAGAGAATTTATTGCGACACTAAG